AACCATGTGAATTTCAGTTGTACAACTCTGAAATATTCCAGTTAATTTTTTTTTACTGTAAAAAATTGAGTTGTTTCAACTAAACATTTTCAAACTTATTTGACATTATTGACAAAAAATGGCATTGTTTTTTTATATATATTTTGCAACAAAATTGTTTTATGATGAATAATTTGAAAAGTTCTCTATAACCATGTGAATTTCAGTTGTAAAACTCTGAAATATTCCAGTTAATTTTTTTACTGTAAAAAATTGAGTTGTTTCAACTAAACATTTTCAAACTTATTTGACATTATTGACAAAAAATGGCATTGTTTTTTTATATATTTTGCAACAAAATTTTTTTATGATGAATAATTTGAAAAGTTCTCTATAACCATGTGAATTTCAGTTGTAAAACTCTGAAATATTCCAGTTAATTTTTTTACTGTAAAAAATTGAGTTGTTTCAACTAAACATTTTCAAACTTATTTGACATTGTTGACAAAAAATGGCATTGTTTTTTATATATATATTTTGCAACAAATTTGTTTTGTGATGAATAATTTGAAAAGTTCTCTATAACCATGTGAATTTCAGTTGTAAAACTCTGAAATATTCCAGTTAATTTTTTTTACTGTAAAAAATTGAGTTGTTTCAACTAAACATTTTCAAACTTATTTGACAATATTGACAAAAAATGGCATTGTTTTTTTTATATATATTTATTTTGCAACAAAATTGTTTTATGATGAATAATTTGAAAAGTTCTCTATAACCATGTGAATTTCAGTTGTACAACTCTGAAATATTCCAGTTAATTTTTTTACTGTAAAAAATTGAGTTGTTTCAACTAAACATTTTCAAACTTATTTGACATTGTTGACAAAAAATGGCATTGTTTTTTTATATATTTTGCAACAAAATTGTTTTATGATGAATAATTTGAAAAGTTCTCTATAACCATGTGAATTTCAGTTGTACAACTCTGAAATATTCCAGTTAATTTTTTTACTGTAAAAAATTGAGTTGTTTCAACTAAACATTTTCAAACTTATTTGACATTGTTGACAAAAAATGGCATTGTTTTTTTTATATATATTTTGCAACAAATTTGTTTTGTGATGAATAATTTGAAAAGTTCTCTATAACCATGTGAATTTCAGTTGTAAAACTCTGAAATATTCCAGTTAATTTTTTTTACTGTAAAAAATTGAGTTGTTTCAACTAAACATTTTCAAACTTATTTGACAATATTGACAAAAAATGGCATTGTTTTTTTTTTATATATATATTTATTTTGCAACAAAATTGTTTTATGATGAATAATTTGAAAAGTTCTCTATAACCATGTGAATTTCAGTTGTACAACTCTGAAATATTCCAGTTAATTTTTTTACTGTAAAAAATTGAGTAGTTTCAACTAAACATTTTCAAACTTATTTGACATTATTGACAAAAAAATGGCATTGTTTTTTATATATTTTGCAACAACCATGTGAATTTCAGTTGTACAACTCTGAAATATTCCAGTTAATTTTTTTTACTGTAAAAAATTGAGTTGTTTCAACTAAACATTTTCAAACTTATTTGACATTGTTGACAAAAAATGGCATTGTTTTTTTTATATATTTTGCAACAAAATTTTTTTATGATGAATAATTTGAAAAGTTCTCTATAACCATGTGAATTTCAGTTGTACAACTCTGAAATATTCCAGTTAATTTTGTTTACTGTAAAAAATTGAGTTGTTTCAACAAAACATTTTCAAACTTATTTGACATTGTTGACAATAAATGGCATTGTTTTTTTATATATATTTTGCAACAAAATTGTTTTATGATGAATAATTTGAAAAGTTCTCTATAACCATGTGAATTTCAGTTGTACAACTCTGAAATATTCCAGTTAATTTGTTTTACTGTAAAAATGTAGTTGTTTCAACTAAACATTTTCAAACTTATTTGACATTATTGACAAAAAATGGCATTGTTTTTTTTTATATATTTTGCAACAAAATTGTTTTATGATGAATAATTTGAAAAGTTCTCTATAACCATGTGAATTTCAGTTGTACAACTCTGAAATATTCCAGTTAATTTTTTTTACTGTAAAAAATTGAGTTGTTTCAACTAAACATTTTCAAACTTATTTGACATTATTGACAAAAAATGGTATTGTTTTTTTTTTATATATTTTGCAACAAAATTGTTTTATGATGAATAATTTGAAAAGTTCTCTATAACCATGTGAATTTCAGTTGTACAACTCTGAAATATTCCAGTTAATTTTTTTACTGTAAAAAATTGAGTTGTTTCAACTAAACATTTTCAAACTTATTTGACATTATTGACAAAAAATGGCATTGTTTTTTATATATTTTGCAACAAAATTTTTTTATGATGAATAATTTGAAAAGTTCTCTATAACCATGTGAATTTCAGTTGTAAAACTCTGAAATATTCCAGTTAATTTTTTTACTGTAAAAAATTGAGTTGTTTCAACTAAACATTTTCAAACTTATTTGACATTGTTGACAAAAAATGGCATTGTTTTTTATATATATATTTTGCAACAAATTTGTTTTGTGATGAATAATTTGAAAAGTTCTCTATAACCATGTGAATTTCAGTTGTAAAACTCTGAAATATTCCAGTTAATTTTTTTTACTGTAAAAAATTGAGTTGTTTCAACTAAACATTTTCAAACTTATTTGACAATATTGACAAAAAATGGCATTGTTTTTTTATATATATATTTATTTTGCAACAAAATTGTTTTATGATGAATAATTTGAAAAGTTCTCTATAACCATGTGAATTTCAGTTGTACAACTCTGAAATATTCCAGTTAATTTTTTTACTGTAAAAAATTGAGTTGTTTCAACTAAACATTTTCAAACTTATTTGACATTGTTGACAAAAAATGGCATTGTTTTTTTATATATTTTGCAACAAAATTGTTTTATGATGAATAATTTGAAAAGTTCTCTATAACCATGTGAATTTCAGTTGTACAACTCTGAAATATTCCAGTTAATTTTTTTACTGTAAAAAATTGAGTTGTTTCAACTAAACATTTTCAAACTTATTTGACATTGTTGACAAAAAATGGCATTGTTTTTTATATATATATTTTGCAACAAATTTGTTTTGTGATGAATAATTTGAAAAGTTCTCTATAACCATGTGAATTTCAGTTGTAAAACTCTGAAATATTCCAGTTAATTTTTTTTACTGTAAAAAATTGAGTTGTTTCAACTAAACATTTTCAAACTTATTTGACAATATTGACAAAAAATGGCATTGTTTTTTTATATATATATTTATTTTGCAACAAAATTGTTTTATGATGAATAATTTGAAAAGTTCTCTATAACCATGTGAATTTCAGTTGTACAACTCTGAAATATTCCAGTTAATTTTTTTACTGTAAAAAATTGAGTTGTTTCAACTAAACATTTTCAAACTTATTTGACATTGTTGACAAAAAATGGCATTGTTTTTTTATATATTTTGCAACAAAATTGTTTTATGATGAATAATTTGAAAAGTTCTCTATAACCATGTGAATTTCAGTTGTACAACTCTGAAATATTCCAGTTAATTTTTTTTACTGTAAAAAATTGAGTTGTTTCAACTAAACATTTTTTCAAACTTATTTGACATTGTTGACAAAAAATGGCATTGTTTTTTTATATATTTTGCAACAAAATTTTTTTATGATGAATAATTTGAAAAGTTCTCTATAACCATGTGAATTTCAGTTGTACAACTCTGAAATATTCCAGTTAATTTTGTTTACTGTAAAAAATTGAGTTGTTTCAACAAAACATTTTCAAACTTATTTGACATTGTTGACAATAAATGGCATTGTTTTTTTATATATATTTTGCAACAAAATTGTTTTATGATGAATAATTTGAAAAGTTCTCTATAACCATGTGAATTTCAGTTGTACAACTCTGAAATATTCCAGTTAATTTGTTTTACTGAAAAATGTAGTTGTTTCAACTAAACATTTTCAAACTTATTTGACATTATTGACAAAAAATGGCATTGTTTTTTTTATATATTTTGCAACAAAATTGTTTTATGATGAATAATTTGAAAAGTTCTCTATAACCATGTGAATTTCAGTTGTACAACTCTGAAATATTCCAGTTAATTTTTTTTACTGTAAAAAATTGAGTTGTTTCAACTAAACATTTTCAAACTTATTTGACATTATTGACAAAAAATGGTATTGTTTTTTTTTATATATTTTGCAACAAAATTGTTTTATGATTGTCACGGCCGGCTCACAAGCCGCGACAAAGAAGGGAATGACACGTAAGATTTAATGAAAAAGGAATAACATTTATTAAAGTAAAAATAAGAACAAGACAATAACAAAAGCAACAAAATAATGGCACGAGGGGAGAGCGCGCCCGTCACGACTGAAGGGAGCGCTTTTATTTGCCGGCATCAGCTCTTAACACAGGTGAACACCATCAGTCCATCATGACGTCACTCACTCCAACTCCGACCTACAAATCAAATGAAAAGAACAACCAAAACGACATAATATGACCCAGACTGGGGTCGTAACACCCCCACCCATAAAAAAAGTGGACATTTATGAACACAGTCACCCGATACTTCCCAAAACTGGAAAGACCCACCACTCTGTATTACTCTCCAATATCCTCAGCAACCACGGGCCCTGTGGAAGCAATTTAAGACAGACAAGTAGAGCAAAACATAGTTAGTCAAACAGTTAAAAGGAACAAGGAGCTCTGGACAATGCGTCAGCTACCACATTGTCAGTACCCCTGATGTGTCGGATGTCCAGCGCATATGACTGCAAGAAAAGGCACCAACGAGTCAGCCGTTGATTTGGGCACCGCAAAGAATGTAAATAGACAAGTGGATTGTGGTCCGTATACACAACCAATGGGTCTGACACGGATCCCACATACACTTCAAAGTGTTTCAAAGCCCAAATTAAAGCTAGTGCTTCCTTTTCAACGACCGAATAATTCACTGATAAGAATTAAACTTTTTTGAAAAGTAGCTAACTGGACAATAAATTCCTTCCTCTCCAGCCTGCAACAACACTGCTCCAGCACCCACATTGCTAGCATCCACACATACCTGAAAAGAACGATCAAAACGAGGTGCTGCCAACACAGGAGAAGACGTAAGAAGTGATTTAGCTGCCTCAAAAGCTTCCTGACAGGTAGATGTCCAAACAAAAGGTACTTTAGCTTTCAACAAATCAGTGAGGGGGGCTACCACGGTAGAAAAATTCCTGCAAAATCCCCGATAGTAGCCTACTAACCCCAAAAACCGCATCAACTCCTTCTTAGTAGTAGGAGAAGGAAAACGATCAATGGCCTCAACCTTGGCCCGAACTGGTCGCACACATCCCTGTCCAACTACCTTACCCAAGTAAGTCACCGTCCCCTTGGCAAACTCGCACTTCGCCAGATTGACGGTCAGGCCAGCCTCTTCAAAACGAGAGAACAGGGCTATGATATGCTTCAAGTGCTGCTCCCATGAATCACTGAAAACTATTACATCGTCCAGATAGACGGCCACTCCCTCTAACCCAGACACAACCCGATTCATCAACCGCTGAAAGGTTGCAGGCGCATTTCTAAGGCCAAAACTCAAAACATTATAAGAGAATAACCCCTCTGATGTAATAAAAGTGGAAATCTCTTGAGCTCTTTTGGTCAGTGGAACTTGCCAATAGCCTTTAAGCAGGTCGAACTTGCTTACAAATTTCGCCGAGCCAACCCGGTCAACACAATCCTCAATACGAGGCAGTGGAAAGGAGTCTGGTTTTGTTACTCTATTTATTTTTCGGTAGTCGGTGCAAAACCGATAAGTACCATCAGGTTTATTGACAAGCAAGCAGGGAGATGCCCAACTAGAGAATGAAGGTCGTGCAATATCATGATCCAGCATATATTTAACTTCAGCATTAAAATGCAAGAGTTTATTTGGAGACACCCGATAAAAATTCTGGCGAATAGGTTTCGAATCCCCAACATCAATATCGTGCTCCAACCAATGTGTGCGCGAAGGTACATCACCAAATAAGGAAACATGATGATTAATAAGATCAATCAAATCACTAGACTTATCCTCAGGCAAATGGGCCAGCACTTTACACACATTTTTAAGAGTATCTGAATTTTTTAAACGTCCCAATAGCACGGTATCATCTGGAAAAGAAACTCCCTCATCCATTTCCTCCCCCACAAGTGAAATTCTCTCAACTACTAATGCAGGTTTCACCTCATCGACCAACATCTTGTGAGAACGTGAATAATAGGGCTTCAACAAATTAACATGGCACAACTGGGTGGACTTTCGTCTCTCTGGAGTGGCAATCAGATAGTTTAAGTCAGTAACTTGTTTTTCTACCACATAGGGACCTGTAAACTGAGCTTGAAAAGGAGAGCCCTCAACAGGCAAAAGCGCCAAAACCTGATCGCCAGGCATGAACTTCCGTTCCTCAGTTCGTCGATCAAAAATAGTCTTCATACGCTTTTGCGAACACTGCAATTGTTCCTTTGCCACCTTACCTGCTTCATATAATCTACGCTTAAAGTCATTCACATAACTTATCAAGTTTTTTGGTGGTGCACTTTCAACCCACTGGTCTCTGAGTACAGCCAGCGGACCCCGAACTGTGTGCCCAAACACCAAATCATTGGGACTAAACCCAGTACTCTCCTGACATACCTCACGAGCTGATAACATCAACCACGGCAATCCTTGTTCCCAATCACCTTCCATCTCTGTACAATGTGAACGCAATAAAGACTTCAGCGTTTGATGGAACCGCTCCAAAGCCCCCTGGCTTTGAGCATGATAAGCACTAGCCTTATTGTGCTTAATGTGCAGCAATTTCAAGATCTGAGAAAACAAGTGAGAAGTGAAGTTAGAACCTTGATCACTTTGTACAATCTTCGGTATGCCAAAAATGGAAATGAACTGAGTCAAAGCCTTGACCACTGACTTAGCAGTTATTGTACGAAGAGGATATGCTGCAGGGTAGCGCGTAGAGGCACACATCACCGTGAGCAAATAAATGCAACCCGACTTTGATCTAGGTAGTGGGCCTACACAATCAATAATTAGGTGCTCAAACGGCGGACTGACCGCAGGAATAGGATACAATGGAGCAGGTTTGATCTTCTGATTTGGTTTACCTGTTAATTGACAAGTATGACATGTCTTTATATACTGGGACACATCCTTCTTCAATTTTGGCCAAAAGAAATTTTGAAGGATTCTGTGATAGGTCTTTTTTACCCCTAAGTGACCCGCAAGTTTATCATGGGAGATCTGTAAAACCAGTGAACGATACTTCTCTGGAACTACCACCTGCATGACAGGATCTCCAGCAAAATCTCTACCATGAGGAATCCATTTTCTCACCAATATGCCATCCTTCAAAAAATACCCATGAGCAACATTTCTAATGTCATCAGAAGACATCACATTCTCAAACAGTTGATGGAGAGAAGAATCAAGTTGCTGTTCCTGGAGCAACTCAGAAGGAGAAACAGAAAAGTCATCAGGCAAGGAGAATGGTTTTACTACAGCAGAATCAAGAGTTACCCTTGGCTGTGCAGAGGTCATGGAACGAGTTACTGCACATGCAGTAAACACTTCCGGATAATTCTTGTGACTCTCGTCAGGACCTGGAAGAGGAACAGATAAAACCACAGGAGGTGAAAATGCATCAGGCCATACCCTTCCCCCTGCCAAATTATTTCCCATGATTATATCCACCCCATCCACAGGCAGTGACGGACGTACTCCAATCACCACTTCACCACTCACAAGCTCAGATGACAACATTACTCTGTGTAAAGGAACAGACACCACATCCAACCCAATTCCACGGACAAGAATACTAGTACCAGTGTCACTCGAAAATGAAAATGGCAACACATCCTTCAATATAAAAGATTCTGAAGCTCCCGTATCTCTCAATATTGTTACTGGAATTTTTTTCTCTGTACCAACCATCGACACATGTCCATAGGTGATAAAAGGCGCATAATCACCATCTTCTAAAAGGTTAGCTCGTTTGTGAAATCCTTCACACACTGATTCAACAGGACTCAAGACTGGTGCCACAAGAGCAGCTGGTTTAACGCGAGGAAATTTTCCCCCTTTACTCTTGGCTTTAAGCACAGGACACTCACTTTTCCAGTGGCCTTTACCATGGCAGTAATTACAGATAAGAGATGAATTTCTAGACATACGATCTCCTTTATCTTCAAAAAATTCATCCCTTCTCTGAAACTCAAAACTCTTGTGTGTTAACACATAATCATCAGCTAATTCAGCAGCTTTAGCAGCTGTGTCTGCTTTCTGCTCATTTATATAAGTCGCAATTCGAGCAGGTACAGAATTCTTAAACTGTTCTAGCACGATTAAGTCAGTCAACTCCTCAAATGTGGTTACCTCAGATGCCATACACCAGCGATTAAATGCAGCACTGAGCTCTCTAGCAAACTCAACATGAGCAACATTAACACCTCTGGACAATGTTCTAAATTTTTGTCTGTACGCTTCTGGTACTAACTCGTACGATTTCAAAACTGCTGCTTTAACGAGGTCATAATCGTTACAGTCTGAGACTGGAAGAGATGAATACACTTCCTGAGCCCTACCAGTAAACACGCACTGTAAGAGCAGTGTACGTTCCTTACTGGGCCAACCTCTCGCGTCCGCAATTCGTTCAAACAAGGTAAAAAATGTATCCGGATCTCGCTCACAAAACTTAGGCATCAAACGCAAATTTCCCGCAACGTCAAATAGTCTAGAAGCTCCCTGAAAATCATCTTCTGAACCATCTCCATTTCGGTCTTCTCTCATAATATCCAAACGGTATTTCTGCAGCTGTAAATCTGTCTGTTTAGTTTTATTCCTCTCACGCTCCATTTCAAGCTGTAACAGCAATAACCTTTCCTGTTGTTCAAAAGTTAACGAGCCAACGGGTGGTTTAGTTTGACTAGTAGCTGTATCAGCCATTTCAATCAATATAGCTTGTTCTATCAATTTTGTTTTAACTGTTTCTCTAATTGTACTCTCTTTTAATCTTTTATCTACAAGCTCGATTTCATAATGATCCGCAATGCTAAACAACTGATCTTTTGAAAACGACTCAAGTAATGCTACAGAGGGAGAATTAATAAAATCTTCTACAAGGGTAGACATTACTTTACCATTAATAATGTGATTCACAAACCTCACGTGGTAAGAATAAAACGTTCCCCTTCCCTATCTATAGGAAAAAACAACTAACTAACTCACCCCTAATCTTCGTGTGGTTACTGGCGAGGGGTATTTAAGCACCAACTACCGCTGGTACAAGAAAAGCAACCAGCACGCTGGCGACTATCTCATACCACGGACATGCTCCCGAGACAACTGCTCTACTCACGGTCACCACACAAAAATAAAAAAAATTACATTACCCACTTGTTCCAAAAGGGACCAAGCAGCTACACCTAACCAAGGGAACTTCAACAATATTCTCACCACAAAAAGATTAGTAAAATCACTTACCTCTTAGAGACAGCACAGAACAGCTAACTGATACAGCAACACATGTCCTCAAAACAAATAAATCCAACGCGCATTTCCCTTCAAACGACGATTGCGACCTCCCAAACATAAGCGTTCAAACAAACATTCTTCCGGTTTTTTACGTTCAGTTAATGAACGTGCCAAGTTCATTACAAAATAACCGAACGCAACAAAAACGCTTTCCAAATCAGGTCGACAAATAACAGGAAATTTCAAAGGTTTTACAAACAAGCGGACGAGCCCCCATTTGTCACGGCCGGCTCACAAGCCGCGACAAAGAAGGGAATGACACGTAAGATTTAATGAAAAAGGAATAACATTTATTAAAGTAAAAATAAGAACAAGACAATAACAAAAGCAACAAAATAATGGCACGAGGGGAGAGCGCGCCCGTCACGACTGAAGGGAGCGCTTTTATTTGCCGGCATCAGCTCTTAACACAGGTGAACACCATCAGTCCATCATGACGTCACTCACTCCAACTCCGACCTACAAATCAAATGAAAAGAACAACCAAAACGACATAATATGACCCAGACTGGGGTCGTAACATGATGAATAATTTGAAAAGTTCTCTATAACCATGTGAATTTCAGTTGTACAACTCTGAAATATTCCAGTTATATTTTTTTTACTGTAAAAATTGAGTTGTTTCAACTAAACATTTTCAAACTTATTTGACATTATTGACAAAAAATGGCATTGTTTTTTATATATTTTGCAACAAAATTGTTTTATGATGCATAATTTGAAAAGTTCTCTATAACCATGTGAATTTCAGTTGTACAACTCTGAAATATTCCAGTTAATTTTTTTACTGTAAAAATTGAGTTGTTTCAACTAAACATTTTCAAACTTATTTGACAAAATTGACAAAAAATGGCATTGTTTTTTTATATATATATTTTGCAACAAAATTGTTTTGTGATGAATAATTTGAAAAGTTCTCTATAACCATGTGAATTTCAGTTGTACAACTCTGAAATATTCCAGTTAATTTTTTTTACTGTAAAAAATTGAGTTGTTTCAACTAAACATTTTCAAACTTATTTGACATTACTGACAAAAAATGGCATTGTTTTTTATATATTTTGCAACAAAATTGTTTTATGATGAATAATTTGAAAAGTTCTCTATAACCGCATGTGAATTTCAGTTGTACAACTCAAAGTCCATGTTCAGTTGTGACAAAGTGTATTAACATTGCTTAAACTCATAATTTGTTGAGCAAGTTATACAAGATTTGACACATTTTAAGTCTTTTTGTAATGTAATTTAAGTTTAATGTAATTTAAGCTGAAAATGACTTAAACATACAAGTTGATTGATTATAGGTATTGGTTCTTCTGTTTTGAAACATATTGTGATTTACTGCGAATAACTTAAATAGTTCAAATGATGACTCTTTTTTCTCTTAGTTTGAAGAACATTTTAACAATCTCCACAATAAAGAACCATTTGTGGAATGGAAAGATTCCATTGATGTTAAAGATTCTTAAAGGAACCATCGATGCCAATAAAGAACCTTGATTTAAGAGCGACAATCCGACACTCTAACACTCTCTATAAAACGATGTTCTTAAAAGGACACTTTATTTTCTCAGTATAGAACATTTGAATAATCGAAAGAACCATTCACTATAAAGAACTTCTTGTGCATGTAAAGATTCAAGATTCTTAAATGGAACCCTCGATGCCAATTAAGAACCTTGATATTTAAGAATGACAATCTGACATTTTTTAACACAGAGGAGTTCAAAAATGTCTTAGTATGAAGAACATCTTAATAATCTAAAGAACCGTTTTCCCCCCAATAAAGAACCTTTTGTGGAATGGAAAGAGTCTATTAAATGTAAAGATTATTTGTGGAACCATCGATGCCAAAATTTAACCTTTAATTAAAAAAAAAAAAGTTCCCTCTCAAAAATCATATTTTTTTCTTAGTTTAAAGAACATTTTAATAATCTAAAGAACCCTTTTCAACAATAAAGAACCTTTTGTGGAATGGAAAGAGTCCATTGATGTTAAAGATTCTTAATGGAACCATCGATGCCAATAAAGAACCTTGATTTAAGAGTGACAATCTGACACATTTTTACACAGAGATGTTCACTCTCAAAAATAACTTTTTTTTTCTTAGTATGAAGAACATTTTAACAATCTAAAGAACGTTTAGTGGAATGGAGAGACTACACTGATGTTAAAGATTCTTTGTAGAACCATCGATGCCAAATAAAGAACTTTGATTTAAGAGTGACAATCAGACACTCTGACTTTTTATAGCGCAAAGAACATTTTTAATAATCTAAAGACCATTTTTCCACTATAAAGAACCTTTTGTGGAATGGAAAGATTCCATTGATGTTAAAGATTCTTAATGGAACCATCGATGCCAATAAAGAACCTTGATTTAAGAGTGACAATCTGACACTCAAAGAAGTTCACTTTCAAAAGGAAAGTTCTTTTGCGGAATGAAAAGACTCCATTGATGTTAAAGGTTCTTCACAGAACCCTCGATACCAATAAAGAACCTCGATTTCCGTCTGCCGTCTCCAAACCCGCGGCCTTCAACGGCCTCTGGCCGGCACACATCCATTTAAAGGAAGCCCAGTGTGATTAGTTTGCTCCTAATCAGTGGTGTGTTTGGATAAAGCGCCGTTCTGCAGGGGTAAACAGAGCTGTATTTGAAGCTCTTTATGAGGGCTGTTTGGCAGGGTTTATTCCTCTGTTAGACTGGCTCCATGCTCTCGGAGGGAGGGCGGCCCTCCTGCGGGGCCACAAATGGGCGGGTGGCAGTCGGGCCCGGGCCACATGAGAGAGATGCTCTCCAGCTGTTACGCTTTATCTGCCCATCATCCTACAGTAGATGTTAACAGGTTCTCAATGAGAATCATCACGCATCTCCACCCCACAATAAAAGCTCGAATGCGATGGAGATAAAGAGCTATTTTCACCGGGAACTCCACTTATCAGATAAGCAGAGGTTTTTACAGACTGAGAACTAACGCGCTCATTAGGGCGAAGCGTCGACTCTGTTAACACCCGCGATGTGGGAAAGTTTAGTCCATTAGGTACACTCTTAGAAGGAAAGTTTAAGGTTCTATCAGCGCTACGTATTTGGAACCCCTAAATGGTTCTATACAGAACACTTTTTAAGAGTTCAATAATAAGAAGCCTTTCGGGTTCTTTGTACTATATGGAATCTTTTGGGTTCATTCATTGTCATTTATTTTGTCCTTTCCGGATTAAATATTTCTTATTATTGACAAACATCAAGACCCTAAAATGTATTTATGAATGCATATGTGAATGATCACAAAATTCAAGATATGGGGGTTAGAAAATGTCAATATGTCAAATATATCATTTTATGTGGTTAATCGAGTACCATTTCAAAATGTGATATTAAGTTACTAAAACAGTGTTCAATAAACAATATTTTAATTAAAACTACAAAATGTTGCAGAAAATGATAGCCTATAAAGAACCTTTGTGCCAAAAGGGTTCTCTCTTGTCATTATAGAACCTTGTTTAGCATGAAAGGTTCTTTGGAGTAATATGCTTCATATATAGAACCCAATCAAGAGTGTACATGTTTGTGGTCACTGATCCAGAGAGGTTTTAACCAGAGGAAGTGAGGCTGTGTGAATGTTTAGAATTAATTGATGCAGTTAATCTACTTTAAAAGGTCTGTCGACTGAAACGTGCATCACGTAATCTCAGCTAACTTTCATTAGCAAGTCATTAGCAAACATCCTTGACAGATCAACACTGCAAAAAAGGGCTTTTCTTAGGCCTACTTAGTATTTTATGTCTTGTTCCCAGTCCAAATATTTGGGAAGCATTTATTAGTAAAATGATAAATAAAAATTAGTAAAAAGTGAATTTTTGCATAAAACAAGCTAAAATATTGGCCAATGGGGTAAAAAAATAAATAAACTTGTTTTCCATTTCAATTAAGTTGGCAGATCATTAGCTTGTTTTAAGCAAAAACTACTTTTATTTTTTTTTATTTTATTTATTTGATCAGAAAACAAGATATATATTTTTTCATATCGTTTGACTGTAAAAAATATATATATATATAGGCCTACATATATTGTTGGTTTAATTTAAAATTGAAGTAACCTGGCCTTAAAATTGTAAGTTCATTGAAATTGAAAAAGTGAGTTAATACAATGAAGGAGATTCATTTAATCACCAGAAACTCAAAATATTATGTTATCTGGACCACATAAATTATTTAAGTTGATTTGACAAAAGAAAAAAATGTTGTGAATACAAATCATGAAAACATATATTTTACAATGTAGTAAATGCTTCTTGATTTAAGAATATTTAGATATTTGGACTGGAAACAGACAAAAATACCAAGTAAGAAAAGTATTTATTTATTTATTTATTTATTTTTTGCAGTGATGATGATGGTGTGATGTTAAAAAGTATGAGATTGAAACACATTGGATTGACTGATGATAAATATGCATAAATCGTAGTTTATTTAAAAACATATTTACAATGTAAAAAATATTGTTGGTTTAACTTAAAAAAATAAGTAAGCTGCCTTAAAATGACTTAAAAAGTTCATTGAAATGGAAAGGAGATTGATTTAATCATCAGAAACTCAAAATATTATGTTATCTGAGCCACATTAATTATTTAAGTTTATTTTACACTAAGGCTGCTATTACTGAAATCCTCATTACTTCTGTATGACTGAAAATTTTATGTAATTTGTTTATGTAAACTGGGTGATAAAAAAAAGATGGAAATTGTATATGCGATTCAAATGCACAAATCTTAAATTGAGACCTACACTTGTTTAAACCCAAAGTTGGGTCAAATATGGGCAAACCCAACTATTGGGTTAAATATAAGACTTAACCCAATTGTTGGGTTTAAACAACCCAGCATTTTTAATGGATTGTATGATATCTTTATAATATGCAATGAACGTTCATATAAAGCGCTAGCAAACCTCAACATGGGCCCCTGAGAGCATCACCGGCGGTTGCCTGGTTACGGGGCCCTTAAGCCAGGTGAGAAAATGTCACGGTAAATCAGGAGAATCTCTTTGAAGTTTCCTCATGAAAAGAAACAAAGACTTTTAAAAAACAAAAGCTCAGATGTGCCGTTTTAGCTTGTGGGATTTCACTGATATTTTATTATCTGAATATAAAGAATAAATAACAGTTCTTAAATCTTAATTTACAGGATAAATCGTTGTCGGAAAAAGCAGCCGTCGAGACGTTACAGATCCATAATGACTTCTGAGGAAACCTTATAAAACATCTCGAACGGCTCCACGGCCATTCTCTCTGCAATATAAATACAACGGTAACCAATATTTTCCACAAATACAGTAGACTCTGGGTAATACACATAATACTGGCTTTTTACAAGTAGCTAGATCATTACATGATGAAACCACATTTACAATACATTCATACACATGATAGTGCATAAAAAAATAAAAGGGAACACTTTATAATAACTTACATTAACAGACAGTTTTATATTACATAATGCATAAATTGTCAGCTAGTACATTCAAACAATTGCTCAAATGTTATATGCCATATACGCATGTGACTATACATATGTATAGGCCATATATTAATGACTTAAAGTTAATATAAAGTGTTACCAAACTACAAAATAAAACATTTTTTATAACTTAAGTCCAGAAATATAAATCCGATTGGATTTTCTATAATGTTTTTTTCTTTTTTTCAAGAAATATACCAGAGCAGAGTTTTTAAAACTGAAATCCAGAAATACATATCAGATTACATTTTGTACAGTAATAAAGCACACTCTAAAAAAATGCTGGGTTGTTTTAACCCAAAATATGGACAAACCCAGCCATTGGGTTACATTTTTAAATTACATTTTTAACCCAATGGCTGGGTTTGTCCATATTTGACCCAAAATTGGGTTAAAACAACCCAGCATTTTTTAGAGTGCAGTTTCCCATAATTTAAGTCCAGCGATACGCATCAGCTCAAGCTTAAGTCCACACACATGCTTCATATTAGAGTCCAGAAACGTATATCAGATCAAACTTTCCTTCCTCCACAAATTAGCATCGGATCGGAGTCTTTATGAATGATGCCCGTTAATGATCGCTCAGTTGGCGCACGAGCATTTGCACTCGGTTATGATGGGATACTGCACCGGTATCCACGCGCACTTGAGCGCGCCTCTCCTCTGCACGCATCTCCACCGCAGGAGCGTGATGTGCGTGGATTTGGCCGGTTTGCACACCATGCCCTCCGGAACCGAGCACGAGCGTTTACTGTAGCAACTCCCCGCGCGGACGAAGCGCGGCCAGAAGCGCGAGCCGAGGTCGTTCCACGCGTAAAGCACCGGGCAGAACGAGTAGGACCACAGCCACATCTGCAGTCTGCGCTTCAGCTTCTTGCTGGCTTTGCGCTTTTTACCCCACTGCACGTCAAAGTCCAGGTTCTTGATGTCTTTGGGCATCAGTCCGGCGGGGTTCTGCTGGAGGTCCAGCTCGTCCAGGTCCTCGTTGCCCGTGTAGCGGTCCTGAGGAGGGCTGATGGAGAGGAAGCGGCTGTCAAAGTCCCCGAGCGCGCTTCTCAGCTCGGTCTCGTTGAGATCCCTGTCCCGCGGGTCGTAGATGGGGTCGGGGTCCTCCTTCAGCTCCAGCAGGGGTAAAGTGTCACTCGGGATGGGTCTGAGGAGGTAATAGTGCTGACACTGGGCGAAAGACATCAGCAGCAGGTACACGGACACCAAACACTGCTGGAGATCCATGATGAGGCGATAAAGCGGGGAAATCTCCACTTGACGCGTTTTAATCTTTGCAACTTTATCCAATGCAAAATTTCGAGCGCTCAGACACCGGGACTATCCATCCATGGCGCGTTTATGTGTCGCGTGCGTCAAAACTCGGGTCTCTCGGGTCTCCACGGGCTGCTGGTGTTCACCGAGGCTGTTAAATGCATCCGAATCGCGCGCAGCATCACGCTTGAAAGTCCCGCGCGCGACGCATCTGTGCGTGTTCTTCTCGTCGCGAGCCAAACCTCTGGGAATGCCTCTCTCACGCGCGCGCCTCTGATATATACACGCGCGGCCCTGTGATGTAATACATCGGCTCTGGTTTTTTTGAATATTTGAAGGAGATTCCCTGACACCTCCTCTCAGAGAGAGAGAGAGAGAGAGAGAGAGAGAGAGAGAGCGAGAGGCGTGTCTGAAGCCGATACGCCCCCTGTCGGCCTCCTCACGCCACGTGCTCTTCGGGGAGAAACTTCAGGGTGGGAGTTTATTTTAAAATAAATAAATAAATCTATCTATCTATCTATCTATCTATCTATCTATCTATCTATCTATCTATCTATCTATCTATCTATCTATCTATCTATCTATCTATCTATCTATCTATCTATCTATCTATCTATCTATCTATCTATCTATCTATCCATCCATCCATCCATCCATCCATCCATCCATCCATCCATCCATCCATCCATCCATCCATCCATCCATCCATCCATCCATCCATCCATCTATCATCCATCCATCCATCCATCCATCCATCTATCATCTATCTATCTATCTATTTATCTATCTATCTATCTATCTATCTATCTATCTATCTATCTATCTATCTATCTATCTATCTATCCATCCATCCATCCATCTATCATCCATCCATCCATCTATCTATCTATCTATCCATGTATCCATGTATCTATCTATCTATCTATCTATCTATCTATCTATCTATCTATCTATCTATCTATCTATCTATCTATCTATCTATCTATCTATCTATCTATCTATCTATCTATCTATCTATCTATCTATCTATCATCCATCCATCCATCCATCCATCCATCTATCTATCTATCTATCTACAGTATCTATCTACCTATCCATTCAACTATCTATCTTACTATCCATCCATCCATCCATCCATCCATCTAAATAGGTTAAAGGGCAGGTAAGTTTAGTTAAGGTTAGTGTCATCACTAGTATGTCCTTCAGCAAAGCTGTTTTCCTCAGGATTCTCCATCAGGACTGAATCTGAAACGAGCGATCTGAAAGTCTCTCTGAATAAAAACAGCTCCTGAATCGCTACATACTATCTATCTATTTGCGACTTTGAGAAGCACAAACATGCAAGTGTGCGCCCAGGCCGCAGGGAATAAAGCCATAAAACACTCCGTCCAAACGAATCCAAAACGAACATCTCCCACTAAGCCAGCGCCGTGTGGAAACCCCGACATACTGTCAAACGCTCGTTCTCCGAGAATCGTTTAATGGAAGAAGTGACCTGCCATTCCACTGGCCATAAAGCAGGCGGAGAGATAAATGCATCTCTGTTCCTGTCTGAATGAGCTAATTCACACTTCAACTCAGTTACTTCTGCACGAAGACGCCTGGGACACAAGTCACAGGTGTATTTTTAGTCCGACCGCGCATTGTCACAACATAAAACGCACACATAACAACATGCTTGGAGAAGTGCGGCCGTAACTCAGAACAGATGATTCTGAAACGTTTCATTTCTCAAAGAAAACAAGACGTTTGTCTCAATAATCTTTCCTTAAGTGCACATTTTGAATTTCGATCATAAATGCGTATCAGAAGTAAAATAGGTTAAGGTTGAAATTCAAAATCCTTCTCATCACTCACTCACTTAAAAACCAAAAACCATTTCGCGAAGTGGCAAAAGATCAGCATTTGGCTTTGGTTAACCTCACCGTCTGTCACATACGATTCCCTTGATTCTCTCCTGGAGTTTCATCAGTGTCAAAACACATAAACGGAGACGTATATCTGTCATAGTTCGAGATATCAGAGCTCACGCCGGCACCGAGATGTTTTCATATGAGCCATTATGACTAATGCTTTTGTCTTTTCTACGAGGGTCATCATGTCATGAAACACACCAGACTCCTTTACTGGCAGAAACCTTACACACGGCTACCAGAACACACATATTTATACAGAAATACGACAATCTCAATCTTGAAAAATGGCTTAAAACACTGAATGCTTAAAAAAAATACATTAAAGTCCTTAAATGACAACAGAAAGCTTAATAGCGCGCATAATTTGACTAATTACCGGTTTCGCGTTCACACATAAAGCCGCATCTAAAACAGCTCATGAGTCGCAAGTACCAAAACGAGTGACTTACTGCGCTCAAACAGCCAAAATTATATCAAAATGCCCGTCTTAGCGAGTATTCAGATAAACACATTTAGTTTTGGAGCCTGATTAGTTATATATTAGTATATTGGATCTGTGAAGAAGCTCTTAAAGTGACAGCAGCCTAATATTCCTGCTGCCGTCCGTCATGTTAATCAACCAACAAAACACAAACAAAATCACTCTCTGCTCTTGACTAATTATAAGCATTAAGGCCTGTACACACCGGGATGAATATCAGCGCGCGTTATTCGTCAGCGTTTTTTGTGTTCACACCCAAGCGATTTTCGCTGACGATTAGCCGAGTGAACATGCAAATTCATTCCCTGACATTAGATGGCGCCAATTTGCTCTGCAATACCACTCCATATCAGTTTTCTTTTATCAAGATGTTTGTAGTCCCTGTCGCGTTTGTCATATAGTTTGTTATGTTCTAACACCAACGAGAACAGTACGGCGACGCTACCAGACGCTACTTGGCTTATATCTTCTTCGCCGTTTCATATGTAGGCTATGCTCGGCAAGACCGTTTTGTGTTTGAGCGCCCTCTAGTTGTGTTTTACTGTAACTTCAGAAGCTCCAAACACGTGAGCAAGAGCGCCAATCTCATTGGTCGGATAGTTTTTGACGCGGTGCGTCAAACTTAAAAAAACGAATCCGAGTAATTTTTTTTTAAAATAAAGCTTTTACGCGTGACGTTTTACGCGTCGATGTGCACACTCACATTGGCGCCCTTTGTTTAGTCACGAGGCGTTAAACGTAGGCGAATAACGCACGCGAAATTCGTCCCGGTGTGAACAGGCCTTTAGTCTGTATTTTTTTACAATAAACACTATCTACATTTGATCACTTTAATATCCGTATAATTTCTTAACCGAATACTAACATACTGTTAGACCCACCTAAATAAACAAAAACGTAAAGCTGTGTTTATTTCATATCTCTCTTTGATGTGAACATTCTGATGTTGTTTGAAATTTGTTTATTTTTTATTATTTTATTACGGTATTTTTTATGAAAATGAAATTTTGCATTGAAGAAAAGTCGATTTTTGTTTGTATGCTGTCAATATTTGAAATAAAATCGGAATCTGTAAAAATCGATATCGGCTGGTCACAATTACGGAAAAATCTGAATCGGCCAGTAAAATTGTAATCGGTGCATCTCTAATCATTATTACATATTCTAGTCTTTAGCGGCCCGGATTTATCTAACATATGGATGTCTACCCGTAGTGATAACACAAAGCTCAAGATGTTAGAGTAACAATTACAGTCTTCTGTAAAATAAAGCATATTTTGTTAGCTGTTTGAGCTTGAGCAGATGTTTTATACCGTCATCACTGTGCTCATTTCCCAGAACATTCAGCATCTGGTTCATATTCGCCATCTCAAACATATTCTCAAAACTATCATTTTCAACATCTTGAAAGTCAATATTATGATCGCTGACAGCTTCTTCACCAGATCCAGCATCCAGTGACACTAATATTTGATTGCTCTGCAGTAAATCACTGAGACTTTTCAAGTTTTGCTGAAGATTCTTCCTATTGTTTTGTTTTCTGCCTGCGGTGACTATGAGTGAAACATCACTTTCTTTGTGTGTACTAGACACTGCTACCTTGTGGAATAAAGGGGAAATGCATTCATTCAGTCATCAAAGATTAGATTAACTCAATTTACCTCAAAATTTACCTCAAAAATGAATGAGGAGGAGGATGGTAGTGATTGGCATCCTGGGTCACTACAGACCCGAGGTATGCGTTTAAGGGTTAAAGAACCATTCTTTCTTAGAACCGTTAAGTGGAAAGTTCGTTCAATAAAAAAATCTTAGTGTGAATACGTTTTTTAATAATAAAAAGCCAATTTTTCCCTCTATGAAGAAACTTTTGTGAAATAAAAAGATTCCATCCATGTCAAAACGACGAATGTCAATATTAAAGAGTAAGAAAGTATACCTGTAATTATGATTCTGTACTTCACAGCTGAAAGATCACATCTGTCTGTGGCTTCACTGTCTCTTCTGTTCCCACAATCCTCTGAGCCTGTTAAAGACACAAACACACACATGCAAAACTTGCCGCCATGATGCTATAGCATTGCTATTCGGTTCTTAGGTTGTCAAAGATCTTCTAGTCTGTAGGAGTGACTTGTCAGGTTCCTGCTTAAATGTGATTTTATGGTCCAGCAGGTAAAAATGGTGAATCTGATGATTTAAAACAACAAAATAACAGCACAGCTCTCCTCAAAGAGACACATGATTCATGAGGAATCATTCATGTCATCACTAAGCCCATGTAATAGTAATAGATGCTTTTAATTTGGTGTGTAGCACTCATTAGGTCTGTACTGATTCCTGTGGCTTGTTCACATAATTTATCTCCTCAATTACACTTTCCACAGTCATGTGTAATTGAGGCTACATTACTGAACACACACACTTTGTGCAATTTGGTCTTTTTGTTGTTGGCATTTTTAACTCTTGCATTATATTCCAGGTTAAGTTGGAGTGAATGATTCCTCAAATAATGTGGTTTGTTTTAGGAAAGATGTGCTGTTACTTCACTAAACAATCTGACCATTTTCACCTCGCCACTCTTAGAACTAAAGATTCTATATGGAATCTTAAAGAGTTCCATCAGACGCATCATATTTAGAACCTTTCAGAAGTTCCCCTAAAGAGTTCCGTCAGACGCATCATATTTAGAACCTTTTAGAAGTTCCCCTAAAGAGTTCCGTCAGACGCATCATATTTAGAACCTTTTAGAAGTTCCCCTAAAGAGTTCCGTCAGACGCATCATATTTAGAACCTTTTAGAAGTTCCTCTAAAGAGTTCCGTCAGACGCATCATATTTAGAACCTTTCAGAAGTTGCCCTAAAGAGTTCCGTCAGACGTATCATATTTAGAACC